GGCCTGAAGTAGTCACTAAGTTGTGACCTGGCCATTCACTGAACACGTGCCTGTCCCCCCCCCCCCCCCCCGTTGCAGAGGTGAGCGTCAAACATGCCTCCCCTGCTGCCGGGTAGACGTCCGCCCAGGGAGGGTGAGGAGCCACCACCTGGCTCTTACCTCCCTGGGGGCGTGCCATTACCCTCCCCTCCCCTCCCATGGAAGGGTATAAGGGCTTGCCTCCTGGCTGGCTTTGGCTAGCGGACGACGCCCTAGGGCGTTGTGTTTTCTGTGCTTGGGGTGCCCTCCGTTTGCCCATGGCAGGACCAACTGGCTAGCGGATTTGATCTGAACCCTCATTGCAACGGGTTCATTGCACTCCGAAGCTCCAAGACTGTACCCACCATTTCCTGAACAAAGAGGGTGGAGGATGTCCAGTCTACATCACTGAGGTGGGGACGTACCCCGGCTCAGCTTGTCGGCAAAAACACGTGCGTCTAAGGCAGCGTCTCGTAGCACGGTAGTGGCCCTGGCCAAGAGGCTGGTGCGTTCTGCCTCCAAGGTCTCCAGAGTGCTGGTCACGCATAATAATGTGCTCAAGCTCACCGAGTCATACAGATGGAAGACTCTGAGGGACCGCCCGGAGTACCGGCTGTATCCGACGCGAGCGAACTGCATCTCCTTTCACTTTAAATATGTGAGAGGGAGCGTGTTCGACTGTGCGTCTCGTGACAGGGTCGGTTCCCTCTGGGAACGCCCATGGGTTAGTAAGAAAGGAGTCAAAACCCACAGCGGAGACCGGACACAAGGAAAAATTCGTTACCGTTGTACCGTTACCGCGTGACGAATCCTAGCTGGCTGAAAGTAGGGGGGGTCAACGTGTGCCCTGCCCTGAAAGCCCTGCCCCGAAATCGGAGACTTGGCTGCCAGCACCCCTTGGCATTCAGCCACCCCCCAAAATAGTGGGAGACCCGTGCCTGGGAACGGGGGTTCCCCGGAAGAGACGTGTTTGATTGCAAACATGCTTTCGTGTTTCTTCCTGCTTGTCCGAGGGGACACAGTGGAGACAGCTCGCTCCGACTGCGTCTGATCTACCCGGCCTGCCAGGGATGCAATTGCCCCGACAGTCCTTCGACCAAAGCCCTCAACTCGGAAGCAAACCCGACGCCGTGCGAGGCAGGGTCCACAAAGAGACCCGTAACGGGCCCCATAGGAGGAAAGCCTCCAGGGGCACAGCCTCGCTGCAGCCGGTAAAATCGGGTAAAACACCGCCTGAAAAAACAGACTGTGAGGATGCCCTCTGATCAGCGGGGGGGAGACCGAGAAAAATATTGGTACCTCCGCCGTCGGACCTCTTACTCGATGTCCCGGTAGATGAAGTACCGTAAAAACTTGATTAATTCGCGGTAGTAAAAATAATTATTTTTTCAAGTGCACGAATTAATAGCGTCAAAACGGAAATTATTGGTTTTTGGTGCGCGAATTAAAAGAGTACTTTTTGATCGATTCAAAAAGGAGCTGTTTTCATAAATTTATTAGTGATTTGTTACACACGATTACAGGACGTTTTTTTAGTGCCTCTACATTCATGGCGTATAGTCGGGCAGAGAACACGCACTGCGTCAAGGACCACGCACCATGTTACACTTGAAATGAAACAGTGAAATGGCAAAGGTCACTCTGTACACAAACAAAAAATGAACACGTGGCTACAAAGTAGCCGTCTGGCTGCACTGCCTTTTTTATTTTTCTAGGCATCGCCAGGGCGATGTTATGGCAGATATTACGAAGCCCATCTTGTCGGATAAAATAACCCTGTGTTGATAAAAATGGTCTCAGAAAATGTTTAGAAAAAATAATGTTTCGCGTTGACCAAATATAATCATGCAAAGTATAAATTCAAAGTGTTTTAATACATTGGTGAGAGGTCGCATCACTAAGAAGGAAAAGCAAGCCAAAGTCGAAACGGGGTGCATCATGGACATGACACAACACACGCTGCGACAACTGATTGATCAGCGACATCATTTTGGGACGCAATTGAACTTCAAGTACTTTTTTGCGAAACTTCTTGTGCGGCAATGCTGACATCAAGTGTGTGTTGACCGAAGTTTGACCCCCAGTCATGCACTGAACTGGCGCGTTACCTTAGCAACCTTTTTTTCTTTTGTGCCCCGCGAGTCAAACTAGTAAAATTGTTATTATATTCGAAGGTACTGTAATTACGCAACTTGTATGCAACTCTGTACTGGCTTGAATATATCAATTTGAACGTCGTTTACTTAGTGCACTGCTTTTCTAATTACGCAAATTTGTTTACAATATTGTATCGGCTCTGTACTTCGTTATATATTGCTTTCATGATAATTAGTTTTTTTTTTTAACTATTGTTAGGGCTCTGACCCGGGGTATTGGGTCTGTGAATATTTCAATATCACCGACTTGATAATGCGTTGCATTCATAATAATTACGCAAACATAAACATACCATACGTCAAATTAAATTTTACTATAATATAATAAACTCTGGGCAGCGGACTTCGATCGCATTATTCACGTACATTTCGACTGAACTCTAATAACCACGCGTTTGGTTCATGCACTGATATTTAAATTGTCATTTGTTCGAAAAATCTTTTAACTCTCACAAATACCATGAACGCGAAGAGTTACCTGGGGGTTAAATGAAAGGGAATGTCTTTCTTGCACAAAAAACACATCAGTACAAGATTATGTGTGCAAGGTTAGATTTATAGAAGGTACATGACCGCTTAACTCTCGGTGTTTTTTACCGAAATCGGTATAATGAAAATGTAACAGGAGGTCAATCGCCCGACCAATCAAAAATGACAATTTACGCACCATAGGGCGGTTCACTTAAATAACGTAATATAATAATGGCGGGCACATGGTCGATGCAACCCTGTGGATCAGCGACGAAAAAGCCCTGTATTAAGCTTTCCATCACGGAAATTCTAATCGATGTGCTGACCGATGGATATTTATCGACTATGTAATAATCTTGCCCAACATCTGTAGTGTTGTGGGGGAATGATTTTTTTCATGTCAAATCTTTACCGAACCTAAACTGCTTGCTAACTGAAAGGCTGTGATGACGAGATCATCTGCAATTGTGGCAACACCAAGTACTGATAACATAAAATTATATGTATATTTTTAATGTCTTCATGCAATATATTCTGAGTTATCCACTTTATTATGGCCCGCGAATTAAAAGGATACAATTTTAAACATGTTTTTGAACGCCGCGAATTAAAAGGATACATTTAAAAATTAGCGTTCGAAAATAAAATGGGTGCGCGAACTAATAGAGACCGCGAATTAATCAAGTTTTTACGGTACTGGTAGCCAAGCGCGAGGACTTTCCACTCATGCAAAACACGCAACTCACTTTAACTGATTGTCTACTGGA